TATATATATAAAATGTCCTTTTTCATGCCCCTCCTCTTTTTTTCTGCTTTTGTTTTTGTTGGCAGGGTCAGACCTTTCAACCGCTTTCTCAAAGCCTATTAAAAAGTCCTCAGAAAGGCATTAGGGAACAAAGCTGTGGCATTCTATTCTGGAAGGGTGTGTTGCTTGCACTCTCGGCTTTTATTTGTCTTTTTTTGTTTTGTTTTGAAGGAAGTGCTTCAAGATTATGGTGTTTAATTTCTGCAGAACTAGATGCAACATATTCTTCCATGGCCTTTCATTATATGAACTTTGTTAAGCAACCACATCTTTCTTGTTGCTCAAGAGTTACACTAATTGCATGGAGGCAACCTGCTGTTTTACCTAAGCATTGCATTTGCATACAGTCTAACACCTTCTGCACACTTTGGGTGAGTGAATCTCAGCGCTCCATGAGATCTTGACTTGTGCAGTATGGTTGATGACTTAGCAGACAGTTAATGGGGGTTACTATTCCTCCCTCTCTCCTCGAGCCATTATGTTTACCTAGACCAAGAGAGGGTGCCAGTAGAGATCCCACAGCTTATTATTGTGCGTCTAGATGGTTGTGGTCATGCACAGAGCATTGCTGCTGTACATTTGGGAGGCAGCCAGTCAGGCTCCAAAGGACAGACAACTCGCCAGTCTGCTGTGGGTAGCAGCAGACTTTCTGTCTACTTGCAGTTTAGCAAACTGTTTGCTGTGGCATTAGCAGAGACACTTTGTTATGGGTACAAACAACCTAGCACTATTTGACCTTGTACATACATTTCTCGTTTTTCCTTGTGATATGATTGAAATAGTTTAAATATAGCCAAAATTCTAGCATGCAGTTAAGATCACTTCCATGTAACAGTGCTTATTGTAAAAGATGAAAATGTAGCCCATGCTGATAGTTTGTTCTGTTTGCTTTGGTTTAAATGTCATTAAATGGTGACAGGCAGGCCAAACCAGTGGAAGATGCATCCCAACAGAACTCTGAGGTGGTTGAATCCTGGGACTCACCCAGCGAGGAAGAGGAAGCTCTGTATAGCACTTCACCACCTTATACTCCCCGTCAGATGAAACGCATGTCTGCTAAACATCATAGAAACAGCCAGGCAAGGAGCGGTGTTCGGTCTCCCCATAAGGGTAAGCTTATTGATGTGACTCTATTTGAAATTATTTTTAAATGTATTACATGTGGTTTTAAATGTGTTGTCCTATCTGAGAGTATGGATTTTTCTGTGTTTATTTCAGCAGACCTTAGCTCATCTAATCTGAGAGAGAGTCCCAGGCCAGTGGAAACCCCGGAGGAGCACAGCTACAAGCAGGACAAGAAGCAGAGGGCGACTTTGCGCTCCACAGAGAGAGACCACAAGAAGACCTTTGAAGGGTCCTTTGTGCTGGATTCGCTCTCAAAGCCTAGTCCTTTCGGTGCCCTCAACATGGATCCCAGGAAGCATTACTTGAGTTTGGGTTGCAGCAGCTGCAAACTTCCTGTGTCTATGCCCCATATTGCCCGGACCCACCGCCAGACCTCCAGGACAGACTGCCCCGCCGACCGCCTCAAATTCTTTGAAACTCTGCGGCTGCTGCTCAAGCTCACATCTATGTCCTCTAAGAGGAAGGAGAAAGAGCAGAGAGGCCTGGAGAACATGCCCTACATGGGTCACAACAATGAGGTCATTTGGTTGGAGCTGCAGGCTTGGCATGCACGACGTTCCACCAGTGACCAAGACCTTTTTCTTTACACTGCCCGCCAGGCCATCCCTGACATCATTAATGAGGTGCTGCACTTTAAGGTCAACTATGACAGCCTAAGAGGGGCCCAGTGTTCAGGGTCTGAAACAGTTGAGTGGGACTATCGGGGTGTCCCAGATCTAGTATGTGGACAGGAGAGGGACCCTGCTGTGTTAGACACCAACCACTGTGGAGTAGATACTTGGGGCTTTAGCGCCTGCCCCTCGACTGCGATGAATGCAGCAGAGCCTCTGGGCTCTGGCTCCAATTGCAGGGAACACCTTCAGCGCCAGCGACTGGCATTTGAGCAGGTCAAGCGGGTTATGGAAACGCTGGAGTCTGTAGAAGCTTTGTATCCTTCTTTGCAGGCCCTGCAGAAAGACTATGATAAGTATGCAGCACGAGACTTCCAGGGCAGGGTGCAGGCGCTCTGTCTGTGGCTCAATATCACCCAGGACCTCAACCAGAAGCTGCGCGTTATGGCCACTGTCCTGGGCATTCATGATCTATCCCGTATTGGATGGCCTGTTTTTGAGATTCCTTCACCTCGTTGCTCCCATGGCAATGAAGAAGAGGAGAATGAGGAAGACGAGGAGAACGAGTCCACAGCCACTTTTACACCTGAAAGTGAAGGGGAGGATAGGGATGATGAGGAGGGAAGATTGGAATATGTAGTGGAGGAAGAGCTGTCTCCCTCGTTGACTCCTAAATATGCCCGATTGTTGTCAGAAGATGACTTTCTCCATACTGCTACTGCAGGAAGTGCAGAAGTGACTGCAGGAGGGGTAGTGTTCTGCCCCACAGCCATCTACAGGCCATTTGTGGATAAAGCTCTAAAGCAGATGGGACTGCGTAAACTAATCCTGCGACTGCACAAACTGATGGACCGCTCTCTTCAGAGGTCCAGAGCAGCGCTGCTCCACCACACACCTCCACTGGAGGTAAGGCTACAGTGTTTTTGTTCTGCACACTTTATCCATTTTATCCTGTTTAATTTAACTGAACTAAAATCAGCTGAACAGCTTTATTACAGATAAGTCAGGAAATGACCCTTTATCTGTATAAAGGTATATAACAAAGGTGATCTGGTGTCCTGTGGAGATAATACTATATAGCAGTGCATAAGTAGACTTCTCTTTAGCTCTTTAGGTTTTGTCCTGACACACACACACACACACACACACACACACAGAGAAAATAACCAACTAATTGATGACTTTCTTGCTGCAGACATTCTTGCAGATTTTTTGGTTCTTCTTCCTCTAAATTATGTGTCAGTGTTACACTATATCACATAGAGGTGAACAGTTGGCTTGATGACAGTAACAGCATGTAAGACAGCAGTGAACACCTCTGCAAAGTAAATGATATAAATATATTTCACAAATACAGAAAAATTAAGTCATTAAGAAAAGTAAAAATATGTTTTAAATATACATTAAAATGCCAGCTGTTGTAGGCTAATAATAATGCTATAATAAGTAATGAACTACCGATTTAGTCAATTAGTTAATTATAAAAACAAGCAATTTATCCATGTCATGGTGTGGCCTCTTTTCAAAATTTTCTAACTTTTAATTGATTAAATAATTTTTAAACAAATCTATAAATAATGGAAGTACCTGTAGATTGAAGCCCTATATTAAAGCCATGTTTCACATTTTGGGATGCTATAGGAATTGTATGTCTGTTATAGATGACCAGGAACTGGATTTTAGACAATAAAACAAGATTGAAAATCATTGACTATGGGCTTTTTTGGCAGGCTGGTCACCTTCAGGTTCTTTAAAGCAGTAAAACGGCCTGAAGCATGCTGCGGTGCTTAACAGTCAAACTAGAAGCAGTATTCTCTAGTTGCCAGAGAGGGGATATATTGTAAAAGATGAGTTAAGTTTATTTTTAAAGTTAAATTAATACTGTAGGTAGTCAGTGATTTGTCAAACAAGAATTCCAGAATTCAAAGATTTACCACATGCACTAGCAGTACTGTATGTGCAGTGAAGTGCAATGTTGTGTGCTCCTAATTTTGTGCTAATTTATGTAAAAAAAAAAAAAAAGTTTACCTTAAATAAGTGTCACATTCCAGTTATAATGGTGATATGGTGCGCTGTTTCAAAGCAGGTCAATAGCAGTCATGTCTACAGTGTGGAATTACTTTGACGTCTAAAGCAAACAAACGGCTAATTGTCATGTTTGCTGTGCAAATATTAGTAATTTAATTAGGCCCATGAGGAGACCGCATTCAGAGGAGTTCTCAGACAAGAGCTTACAAGATGTCTGAGCCCAGGGTGTGTGAAGAGGCTAGAAAAATAAAAGAACAATAAAGAAGAAAGGACTGTCAGTGAGGTTTCTGGTGTTGAAAACAGTGAGATTTGACCATTTAATGGAACATTTCTGGGCGGTTCAGACACTGCCCTCCTCCTGCAAATGTATAACAAGGTATGTGAACATGTTTTTGCTCATTTGTTGTTCAGATGCTTTGGCGTAATAAATAAAAACAAGACAAGTTGTAGCTATACAATACCGGTAACAGGGCCTGTCTGCACAATTCGAGAGCTGGCTAAGTGTTTTTAGTAATGTGTACTCTGTCATCCAACCCAACAGTGGATGCTTATCTGTAGAATCAGGTGCCTGTCTGAGATGGGACAGCCATGATTGATCAAGCAATGAAAACACAGTTTAAATAAGCTTTATTAATAAAAAAAAACAATTCTTATTTATTATGAACCGTGTGTTGACTCTGTTAATATAACAGCATATTACACCACCGGTCAGCATTGATGCCTTATAAGACATGCTGAATTAACTTCTTTATTCCTGTGTTCCACTTGCAGTTTGCAGACTTCCCAGACCCCATGCTGTACAGTGATTACCTGCCTGAGCTGTCACGCCATGTGTACTGCAGTGGCTCAGCTCACCCAGAGCTCGGAGCAGACCAGGTTTCTTGGGAGGATTTGCTGGACATGGACCTCCCGTCCTTCAGGCCGGCGTTCCTTGTTCTGTGCAGAGTCCTTCTCAACGTCATTCATGAATGCCTTAAATTACGACTTGAACAAAGGCCTGCTGGAGAACCTTCACTGCTCAGCATCAAACAGGCAAGCAGCTGCAGAAATGCTTAATTCATTGTTAGATTTCTAAGTGATTCTTCTCACTGTGCCAAACCATTCATGCTGAAGAAACACTTGATACATCCAACTGTCATATATCTTAGTTCTATTCCAAGCTTATTTTTTCAAATGAGGTGTGCAGTAGGAGGCTATACAGTTATGTGAAAAAATTAGGACACCCTTTGAAAGCATGTGTATTTTGTAACATGATTTAATATATGGTTATTTAATCTCAATTTTAACAATACAGAGAGATTAAAGTAATACAACTAAACAAGTAAAACTGAAGAAAAGTCTTTTCAAGATCTTCTGTAAATGTAATTCTACAAAAATGCCTATTCTAACTGAGAAAAAAAGACAGCCCCCCCTAGCCCCTAATAGCTAGTGTTACCTCCTTTGGCTGAAATAACTGCAGTGAGACGGTTCTTGTAGCCATCTAATAGTCTCTGACATCGGTCTGAGGGAATTTTATCCCACTCCTCAATGCAGAATTGTTTCAGCTGTGAGATGTTTGAGGGGTTTCTTGCATGTACAGCCCTTTTCAAGTCACCCCACAGCATCTCAATGGGATTCAGGTCTGGACTTTGACTCGGCCATTCCAGGACTCTCCATTTCTTCTTTTTCAGCCAGTCTTTGGTTGATTTACTAGTATGTTTTGGGTCATTGTCATGTTGCATGGTCCAGTTCCGCTTCAGCTTTAATTTTCTAACCAATGGTCTCACATGTTCTTCAAGCACCTTCTGATACACAGTAGAATTCATGGTGGATTCTATGATGGTGAGCTGACCAGGTCCTGCTGCAGCAAAGCAGCCCCAAACCATGACACTTCCACCTCCATGCTTCACAGTTGGTATGAGGTTCTTTTCCTGGAATGCTGTGTTTGGTTTACGCCAAACATGTCCTCTGCTCTGGTGTCCAAATAATTCAATTTTGGACTCATCTGTCCAAAGAACATTATTCCAGAAGTCCTGGTCTTTGTCAACATTCTCTCTGGCAAATGTCAGTCTGGCCTTGATGTTTCTCTTAGAGAGCAAAGGTTTCCTCCTTGCACGCCTCCCATGCAAGTTAAACTTGTGCAGTCTCTTTCTGATTGTAGAGGCATGCACTTCTACATCAACAGTAGCCAAAGCCTGCTGTAGGTCTCGAGATGACATTTTAGGGTTTTTGGAGACCTCTTTTAGCATCTTGCGGTCTGCTCTGGGGGTGAACTTGCTGGGGCGACCAGACCTGGGCATGTTGGCAGTTGTTTTGAAAGCCCTCCACTTGTAGACTATCTTCCGGACAGTGGAATGGCTGATTTCAAAATCTTTTGAGATCTTTTTAAATCCCTTACCAGACTCATAGGCTGCTACAATGTTTTTTTTCTGAAGGCCTCTGACAGCTCTTTTGCTCTCACCATGGTGCTCACTCTCACTTCAACAGTCAGGTGCACACCAAACTAAATGTCTGAGGTTTAGATAGGGCAAGCCTCATTCAAAATGCTGTGTAACAATCTACTAATTATGTGCACCTGGTGTGATTTGAGCCATTTTAAGAGGGCATACATGTGAGGGTGTGCTATCTTTTTCCTCAGTTAGAATAGGCATTTTTGTAGAATTACATTTACAGAAGATCTTGAAAAGACTTTTCTTCAGTTTTACTTGTTTAGTTGTATTACTTTAATCTCTCTGTATTGTTAAAATTGAGATTAAATAACCATATATTAAATCATGTTACAAAATACACATGCTTTCAAAGGGTGTCCTAATTTTTTCACATGACTGGTATGTGTTCTTTCCATATTCACACATTGAAAGTATGTTTTTATATTCTTTTCTTGCAGTTGTCCTGGATTTGGATTTGTTGCTGTTTTATTGGCCGGCACTATCCTTGAAGACAGTAATATGTGCAGGCATGTCATGTGTCTGTGCTAATGTTTGTATGTGTTCTTTGTGCTCTGCAGTTGGTGCGTGAGTGTAAGGAAGTTCTCAAAGGTGGTCTTCTGATGAAGCAGTATTATCAGTTCATGCTGTGTGGTGTGGTGACTGATGCTCAGGGCTTGCAGACAAATGCCAATATTGATGAGTTTGAAGAGGACCTTCATAAGATGCTGGTGGTAAGATTTTTAATCTTCCCTCCACCTCTACTTAATGGTATTTAGTTCAAATTGTCAGATTTACCTTGAGTGTACAGTCATTGTAGAAAAAGACATTTGAAGTAATTAATTATTAAAATGTAAGTTGTACATGAGACCCTGTGGTTATCTAACAGCTCTACCTGTTCTTGCAGGTTTACTTTGACTACATGCACAGCTGGATCCAGATGCTGCAGCAGCTGCCTCAGGCCTCTCACAGCTTAAAGAACTTGTTAGAAGAAGAGTGGCACTTCACAAAGGTCATCACTCCTTACATCCGTGGAGGGGAGGCCCAGTCTGGGAAGCTTTTTTGGTGAGTGGATCTGCAGTCCTTCTGACATGGGCCAATTTGAAAATGAACACTTTCATACACATTCTGGTCATGTCACCTACTTAAAAACCAAACTGACCTGAAACCTTTGTAATGACAGTTGAGAGCTCCAGTCATATGAAACTGCTGTTCTTCTCTTTGCAGTGACATTGCTGGGATGCTGCTGAAATCCACTGGAGAGTTCCTTGATGCTGGCCTGCAAAAAAGTGGTAATGAATTCTGGGAAAGTGCAGAGGACAGCACAGCCTCAGATGAAATCAGGTACAGGGAATAATATGGTTTAAATTTCTTATCCCGAGGGAGGTGCTTTAAACTTTGTTTTAAACTTTAAACCTCATGATTCCTCCAGGCGGTCGGTGATTGAGACCAGTCGGTCTCTTAAAGAGCTGTTCCATGAGGCCAGGGAGCGAGCATCCAAGGCTCTGGGCTTTGCCAAAATGCTTCGCAAGGTGAGAGTCATTTTCAATCCCTTGAAATTGAATCCCTAGCAGCACTCACAGTGCAGTTTGTCTGTTACCCTGTTTGACCTGTTCACTAAAAAACTAGGACATTGTGCTCTGACATGGACGTTATTTGCGCCCCCTCTCTGTAGGACTTAGAAGTTGCTGCGGATTTCAGAATCACTAATGGAGTGACTTGTCTCCTGGAGACACTGAAAAAGAGAAACTATGTCAAGGTGTGCTTGCTTTTCTAGTTATTTTTGCACATTTCTGATCTTGCCTTTTCATCCTGAGGACATTATGTGCCACTTAACCACCTCCCTTTATACCAGGTTCAGATTCCAGGCTTGGAGGAGTTGCAGCTTTTTGTCCCCTATGACTTGATGGCTCAGAGACCTGTCATCCTGCAGCTACTCAAAGCTGCTGCTGGCAAAGACTGCTCCAAAGAGCCTGATGAACCTCCTGAGGATGAAGCCTACCTGCTCATGAGTAAGCACAGAGCTGGGGACTCTACTACTGATTCTGATTGGGCTCAGTGGGATGGAGAACTTCTCAAACTGGTGCCTCAGATGGAGACTGTTGACACTTTAAGAGCCATGAAGGTATGTGACATTTTTTAATTCAACCTCTATATGTGTGGGTATGTTTGTGCTTGGTGTCTCTCTCTCAATGGTCCACTGTGCTGTCAGATGGAGAACATGCTCTTGATAGTGATACAGTCAGCTCACCTGGTGGCCCAGCGAAAGGCCTTTCAGCAGTCCATGGAGGATGTGCTCACTCTGAGCCGAGAGCAAACCTCCAGTCAGCCTCTCATCGCCAGCGCTCTGGAGGAGCTCAAGGTACTTGCATAACCACATGCTATGTTAAAATGACAGCATCCACACTATGTTCTCCTGATTATTCTGGGATCTTCCGTCCGTTTTTTGGCACTTTATAAGTCCAGCATACTTTCAACTATACAGGCCATTCAGGTATCTACCTGTTCAGCTTTTCAGGGACATTCGTATTCAACTTTTTTATAACGTTTATACTTTTTAATTTATTCAGCTTTTTGTTTACAATACAAATCACTGGGAGCTCAAAGTGCTCAGTCAATGACACAGTCCTGGAGTGCCATTTGGTGGTCCATAAAATGCAGCGCAATTGAGACATGGCATTTCTCAACTATTTCAACAAAGAACTTCAGCCATTTTTTCTCATCCTTCAGCTGTCTCAGCAATTGATTTCAGGCATTTTCAGGACAATATCTTCAGCATATCGGCACCCACACGCATTTACAACAGGAACTGCATTTAGTTTTCTGTTGTTGTGATGACAGGTACATGTATGGGTGGATCCAGGGTGAGGCCAGGGGTGGCACTGGCCACCCCCAGAATCTGACTGGCCACGGTGGTGCCACCTCCTGCTAGAATCAAAATGTGATGCTTCTCAGTATTAATGAATGAAAAATCAAAAACAATGACAAATTGTTGCCTAAAACACATCTAATATTTTGCTGGTGCTTTATTATTGATATTGGTCAAATTATTTCAAACTAAGATTGGTCAAATTTTATATTATGCAGTGCGTAATGATAACTGCATTTATTTCTCCAATGATGGTATTGTGGAGTACTTGGCATGATTCACCTCGGGGGGCTACCCCAACCTAAAAGTTTTTAGATCCGCCCCTGGGTGCATGTTGGCGTCCTACTTTCAAATCTGTTTTTCACTGCAGCTGCCATGAGTTCCCCTGAATTTCCACTATATTAACAAAGACCCTGGTTCAGAAGTAATTCTCAGAAGGGAAGTCACTAAACTTTCACATCTGTTATAATCAAGAGTCCCGATACCACATGTTATTTCTCACCTGGATGCTATCAGTTTTCTCCGTTTTGAATGCTTTCATTGATGGCCTTGATGCTTTCTACAGAACATTTCTGGTAGAAAGTAATATATACAAAACTTTGCCTCTCCTACCACAGGATGAGGCACTGCAGCTGTGCATTAAGATCAGTGCTGCCATTGACCGAGTGGAGTACATGTTCACCACAGAGTTTGAGGCAGAGGTGGAGGAGACTGAGTCAGCCACTCTGCATCAGTACTACAGGGAGGCAATGATACAGGGCTACAATTTTGCCTTTGAGGTAAGAGTCATCAGAGGTGCAAACTGTAACACACTTAGTTCCTAGTCGGAGCTCGTCACTTAAAGGTCTCATGTCCATGTCTCTATCATTTAGGCTTATGTTAACTTTGATATTGTTGTAGTTATGGGTTATCCTTTGCAAAGAGGCAATAAAGATTAATAAAGACTGAATTCATTGAAGTGCGTCGTGTGCTGTTTTTTTATTGTTGTTCAGTACCACAAGGAGGTGGTGCGCCTGATGTCAGGGGAGTTCAGGCAGAGGATCGGGGAGCGCTACATAGCATTTGCCCGCAAATGGATGACTTATGTCCTGACCAAATGTGAGAGTGGAAGAGGTACCAAACCTAGGTGAGGCTGAAATATCTATCAACTGAGCACTCGTATGGATAAATTTGTAATTCACATCTGTCTCTCTCTTTTTTTTTTTTTTTTTTTTTTGGTTATTTGGTTGAGTGTGGGGTCTTTCATCTAGCTTTGTGCCCCAAAGGCAACACTTAAGATTTGAGTAGTGCTGTCAAGAGAGATAAAGCCAGGGCCTCTGGTTAACCTCACTAACCAACCAACCAAGCCATCCTACTAGTGCAATTAATCTTTGATTAAAAAAAGCTAATAATGTTCACTGCTCCTTATCACTTAAAACAGGCTGCAGACTTGGACTGATGAAGCCTTTTTTTTCTTTCTTATGCTAAAGATGTTAATACAGTTAAGGGGGATTGTTTGTGTAATTAGTTCTTCAAGTCCCGGTTGTTTTATATAGTATTTTAGAACTGTAAGTGTAAAACCAGAGCTGTTTATCTTATGTATAAGAGCCACAGCCTTAATTAAGATACATTTGGTTTTGTCCTCTTTGTCAAGAGCTCATGTTTTGAGCCATCACGAGCTACCATGGCAATGCTGTAGTCTGATGGTAGTGTGAAGCCTTTAGGTTATTTCGTGGAATACAACTACAACAATACCATGATGTTTTGTGGACGCACACTTAACAATGAGCGTGAGTCGGCTATTATATGTGTTATCTAAATCTGTGCCACCATGTTACCTACTGTTTGTACACAAGGAGTTATGAAGGATGTGTTCTTAAGGATGAAGATGCTGAGATCTGCAGCAAAATCAACTGGCTTGCTTCTAAGAAAGACGTATAACAAAAGCAGATTTTTGTTATCTTTGTATATCGGCTTTACAGTTTGTATTACCTGAATGTTGTGCTGATGTACCTAGACTGTAGAAATGACCTCTGTTATGAATGGTCCCCGTTTTCTCTTCTGTGCTTTCCCACCTATGTTTATTTCGTTTTGTAGAGTAGGAGAGAATAATGTGAAACAGTAACAGACATTTGCACACACCGACTTCCTGTCTTGTTTCACCTACAGGTGGGCGACACAGGGGTTTGATTTTCTTCAGGCTATTGAACCTGCCTTCATATCAGCATTACCAGAAGATGACTTCCTGGTAAAATGGCCTGTATTTTTTGTTTTGTTTTGTTTTTACTTTCACATCAAACATGCTTTGAATATGACATGTGTATATGATGCATTATGTGGTTCCTTCTGCAGAATTTACAAGCTTTAATGAATGAATGCATTGGACATGTGATTGGGAAGCCCCATAGCCCAGTGACTGGTGTCTATGTTGGTAAGATGATCCACTGTGATACAAGCTGTTTGTGACTTCAGGGGTTTATTTCAGTGTTGACATTCTGGTACATTTTTATAACCTGGGTGGCATGGAGACAGGCTGTTACGCAAAACAAACACAATGCCAAAGCAATTCAGACTGGACATATGCCTAAATTTGGTTTGACAGTTAAACTTAGACTAAGTAGTAGTAGCTGATTTGATTTGATTTGATTTATTCTTTCAAGCATGTAAAGACAGTTGATATGTCAACACACATAATTTTATACATATCCAACAAATGCTAATCCAATATCAATTTGCTTATACCTAGTACATGCTTGAATGGAGTAGGAAGAAGTCAGACTTATCCAGTCCTACCCCATGACATCATCTTACCATCATTGGTTTGCAAGCAA